CTGTCCAAAAGTCAGGGCAGCCCAGTTCCAAATACCAGAGACAAGAACCACATAATTGCTTAATTGATCGTAGAGATCAGATGAACGCTGGACCAATTATCATTACGGAAAATATCGCAAATCGAGTTGATAAAGGTAGATAAACGGCCGGTTTGTTCATTTTTTTCGAGGCCCGAACCAATGAGCATTCATTATACAGACGTATATACATGGAAATAAATACATGTCAATCAGTCTAGACATGCATACCTACTGTATAGATACGTGTATATATATCTGATAGATAGACAGATATACATCTATGTTTGTGTATGTGCATGTCTGTTTTTACGAATATTTATTGGGTCGAGCCTAGCGCAATTTTAACAAACCAGCCGAAAGACCCACAAACTACACGCGCACATTGTCAATTCTGAAACAAGCAACTATTACAGCATCCATCGCATCTGCACGTGATCAGATTACATTGTTAATAATTGCACGTCAAGACTCCAACGAAAACTATGTGATCTTACATTGCGGAACAATATAATTTGCAATTCTGTTTTTGTCACCACTGAAAATGTCATGTTCCTTATTAGAAACTGACTTTTGTTTATAGTTTAATTAACAGCGATAAAATAAGCTGCTTGGTTCCCTCCCTGGTCTGGTTGATTCCCTATTATATTAGTGTGATACCCATAAATATAGATTGGGTGACGATTATGGTCATGGATTATTTTGTTTCAGGTGACGATCTCCAAAATAGTAAAACAGAAGGCATATGTGAAATTTCATATCCCTCTTGTCATTTCCATTTATAAAGTAAGAATTAATTCAGAGCGTATAGAACGATCAGATATCTTTGTTAGATGTCGAACAAAGATATTTTCCAAATCATAATACAAGTGGGGCATATAACAAATCTAAAGGCCGAACTAATACAATTATTGAGAAATACAAATTTACCCCTAAAATTTATCGGTTTTCTATGAAGTAGGCGCATATCTAGGGGGGACTAAGCGTATATAGAAAACCTCTTTTTTGTGGATTCCTTGTTGCGTATTAGTGTGGATAGTCACATATTTGAACACGAGATATGGAATGGAGAAAATATATCAAGGTTGGTTAAGTATCCAAGGAGTCGGTGGTATATAACAGTTTTTGGCAGTAAAATGAAACTGTGGGAGGCAGATGGGGAGACATAGGCAGCTACCCGTCTGTATACGCGCTACTGCCAAAGGGTTAAATATGGGAGGCTATACACTTGTTTTTTTTGTTTTTTTTTTGTTTGCTGTGTGTGTGTGTGTGTGTGTGTGTGTGTGTGTGTGCTGTGTGTACACGCATTGAGAATTGAAACAATCATAACGTTACGAACAATTCACGAGTTCCTATTCAGACAAAAGCGCATAGCTTTATTATCTATCCGCATCTCTCTCTCTCTCTCTCTCTCTTTCTACACACAAATAAATATATATGTATGTATGTTTGTTTATATGTATATTTTATCTGCCATTTTGATGTGATCGTGTTCCTGTCCCGGTATGGTCTTATGTTAACTTAGCTGTTTCCAAGGTGTCCGGCAATGTCACATAATCTGAGTGTATTCATATTGACATCTAATAGCATAATCTCTCTCTTCATTTCTTCCTTTCTTTCCCCCTTCTTCCTTCCTCCCATTTTTTTTATTTTTTTTCTATATCTCTCCCTCCCTTCCTCTCTCTCTGGGTCCATCTCCCTGTTTTCTCTCCCTCCCGCTCTCTCGCTCTCCTTGCTTCCCACCCTCTTTCTCTTCTCTCCCCTCTCTTTTCTCTTACTTCCCTCTTTGCCTTTTCAAATACTATGCGCTGGGCGCTGAGGGAGTGGCGAGCAGGTGCTAATCCCTAGGCTACCTGGTGTGGGTTCCCGCGGCTCGTGATCTAAATCAGGGTTCGAACTAGTGCTACGGGGAGAGGAAGTGTTGCATGTCAGCAAGATCTTTTAACAGTGATGCGTGTTTTATATGAAATGTTATTGCATTTTTTATTGCATGTTTGAAATCGTTAGAAAATAACCTATCAAGAAAACCTAAACTTATCGCTACATCTCGGACTTGATTTTGCTCGGGACTGGAAGGACAACTCGAGCGAGAGGTTTGGGCGTTTAAAGTTTGAGGCTCAGTCTACGTGATCGAACGGAGCCCCGCGGATTTTTACCGTTTACGGCAGAGGTACGTTAATGCCCGCCAATTTCACCCAAATAACGGACATTAAATGAGTGCATGTAGGGTACCATCGGGTATGATCGGTTGGCATGTCCAAGAAATGACGTCACTACGGTTTCTACGGAAATCTATAATTTGGACTCTGGATAGATAAAAGTGCAACAGCAGTAAGGAAATTACTATAAAGGCATTCTATGTCACTACATAATTTTACTAGATAACCTAGAAACGAGCCGTAAGAAACGTCCATCAGAATATAATGTAAATAAGCCAGAATGTCGAACTTAAAACCCTTCGCGAACCACTTTTCTTTTCGCCTACCATCTTGAGGGAGAATAAAGCCCATACCCGGCTTCCTAGGATTAAAGCTGTCTGATATATGCGTACCTGTACCTAAAATTTATTCTATTTATTAGCATTTTGATGGGGAAACCAATGGTAACAATGTATATACTATTCTTTTCCATCATAGTGTTCATAATTTCAGTTCTTATCCGGCGTGCTACTTGTGACCATCTCGAAGGTTAAGTTTGGCCTGTGGAACCTAAGTTTGACATCTTTGAATTAAGCCGTATAACACCAGTTCGAATTGCAGGTATAAAAGACTTGGCTCGCCTTTTTTTTTTTTTTTTTTTTTTTTTTTAGGTTTATTGATCTGAAGCAGACGTTGAGTCGCCTTTTGTATTTTAAGATTCAGAATTTGGTCCTGATTTCTTATCATCCGCTTACTGGATATACGAAAATGGAGAAAAGATTCACGGTTTTATAATGATTCCATTTGAATATGTAGTTTTCCCTCTAACCAAAAGTAATTTGGGATGCCGAAACCTGGCAGCCCTGTATGGTGCTTGGGTCAGCTGGGGAAGCTACTGCAAATATTGTGATATTTCATTTTATATCTGTGCAAAGCGAATTATCAAGACAAACTTATTAGGCCTATAATGAGGTATGGGAAAGGCTATGTATCTCCTGTAGATTTCCCGTTTTCTGTAGACACGAAGGGTTTCATTTTCTTTGGATCTTAGCCTATTCTATTTTAATTCCTAAAATTACTGTGTAGAGCAGGTGGGATTTTTAAGAAGTAATATTTAATTTTAACATGTTGAATGGATATAGGGGGTACTAATGTGGTTATTGCGTGCACAATTTATCAATTTATTGAAAAATTCCTGCCGCGTGAACTTCTAAAGGTCAGCGGAATATTCAAAGTAACGATATGGTGAAGCTTGGATTCAAGGAAAGGTTCTATAACACCGATAAAATAATGAGGTAAAAGTGGGTATGGAGTTAACAACACAAAAATATTGTAGAGTGCTGTGGGTTCGTAAGGTAGTGAAAAGGGTAAAAGGGTAAAGAAGGAAGACAAACGGGAGTAAGGCACAGCCAATCTTTCATCCTTTCAGCACGGCTCTCACGCTTCGGATGTACACAGGTGATGAAGGAATGGAAAGGGGGGAGGGGGATCGTAGTCTTCCTGCCTGTGTCATGCACGTTATTGTGGATAAGCCTTTAGCAAATTTTGATCAAAGTGAATATCATTTAATAGCTCAGTACATTATTTATAAACTAGAAATGCAAGTCAACCAATAAACGCGAAGCCAGTACTCATTTCCGGTGGTTTCAGCACATTTTCTTTGGCTCATCCTGGATTGATAGGCAATTCTTATATTACGTAAATTCCATTTCCATATGTTTGACGGTAAAGGAAGAAAGTATTAAATACTATTGTGATATTTACTTTTTTCTACTTAAAGCCTTATCTAAGCCCAGCTATATAACTATGAAAAATAAAGTTACACAACTTTCCGAATAAGCCATCTTTGGTCTTGTTTCCCCATCCAATAAGACAAATCTCTAAACCAACAGTCTGAATAACCAGAAAGTTTTAAAACCCCATCTACGTTTGCCCTATTTTTTGTTTACCAACATCTTAGTGAATTTTTGCAGCGGATGATCTGTTTGAAATGGTGTCCTTTTTATACAGGTTGGTATGGATCACGCGGGAAGGTTTGCGAACAATAATAACATACAATTACTGGGTAATAAACTAATAATTATGTTCGGATATGCAAGAAGTGGATACCTACTCGAGAATTCTACTGCCACGCGAGACAAGCCTCTAAATTCGCTTAAATTACCTGCAATGGTAAGTGTGAACGAGTTTCTTCCCTTATCAATACAATCATTTTAACATCAGGAAATGGGGTCTTTGTAACTCGTGCCAATCTGCCAAAACCATTAGATCATGGACGTATAAATTTGTCGCACCAAGTGGGCTTCAGTAACTATTAGGTTTACTTCATGAGTTACTTCTGGTAACGGATATCTTATTCACATTTTGAAAATTTTAATTGTAGCACATTCGTAATTTACTCTAATAACTATTTGAAGGTATTTTTGAACTTGACTAGTTTCAAATATTCCTTGCAGAAAAATATATTCATATATATATAAATACACAATTAAGGTCTAATATCCATTTGCTTTCTATGGAGCGAAAAAAGTTCAATCTTAAATTAGAAGACAGATTAAGATCAGTACAAGGTACAAGATGCTACTACTCAATCCACCAAGGAAGCACATCTCTATGTATATGTAAATTTTCATATCCTTCCCTCAGGTTACATACACTTCTAAATTAACTATTATCCGATTTATTTTATTAAGATTGGTTTAAAAAATAGTGCACTGTGCTTTTTTCCCCAGATAAAAAAAAAAAAAAAAGTACACATGCTACTCTATAGAAGGAAAATACTCATTTCAACATGAAAATAATACACAAGCTGTGGAATATTTATTTTATTTTGTTCATTACTTCTTTTACATTTTTTTTTCCCACAGTTTAAGAGTAAAGTAGATTTGCCAGGTAAGATAACGCTGGACATCTCTCAAAACCCCCGATGCTTTCCATTTCTCCATTCCTTCCTGTAGACTCCATTAGCCGACTGGATCAATGTAAATTATGTCTGAAAGGGGAGAAGATTAGGAAAAATAGAAAACGCAGAAACCATCATTATAGTTTATCATCAAACACTCATCAGGGAATCCAATCTTCTCCACAGCCAAGGTAAAACCAGCTCAGAGTGTGTAACAACATTAACTCATCATGCTAAACAAGTTCACAAATAGAACTAGGCTTTTATTGCCTTTTCTACTAACAAGTAAAGCGAGAAGTTAGTTTTTCTTAGAAATGGAAGCCAATCTGATTAATGAACCAAGATTCGCAATATGGGTAAAACAAAACACTTTTACAAAGTACTTACATTTTCCGAAAAGTAGCCTTAGCACAGTTTTCTCCTGTGGGATCATGCAGACAGGTTGGTTAGTCCCAGCGTGAATCTGTTATAATCCAGATAACCAAGACTATGTTCAGTTTAGAAGATTTTCAAACATGTAACAAAAGTGAAATACTTTTGTTAATCTGAGAGTGTGTAACAAACCATCATATGAACATAAAAACTTAACTGAAAATTTAATCTTGACAACTTACAGAAAAGTCTCCCAGGTGATAAACCTTCCTCCACTGCCAATCTTGCCTAGAAAAAAGGAAAAAATCAGTTCCTGGGCAGTAATAGCTAACCATTCTTCTATCTTAATCCCATTCAGGGAATCTTAAATTTCTGAAAAAATTTCAACTTTTGTAACGTAAAATCACCATGTTAAACCAAAAAAGGATTAACCTCCCATCCCCCTTCAGTGTATCCCATTTCTTCTTATCGAGTCATCGTTGACTTGCCCAGTCCCTTTATAATGGCATTCAAGTTATGATAATGATCTACATTTCTAAGTTGTAGACTAATTTCTGCTAGGTATTCATCCTTCTCATACTAAAATGCCATTTCCCTACCCCTAGAGTTTCATAACAATCTCTAAATAAATATAGGTCATCCAAGGCTTTTCCCCTCATTTTTCTTGGTTGAAAAGGAGTTTAATAATTTGGGTTCCTCTTGCCACTCGACTACCCGATATGTAATCGAGACTCAAATCTCTTGCCCTAAATATCATTTCAACATCTTTGAATAGAAGTCTTAATGCTAAACTTGACCTTCAATATTTGTATTAACTTTGATAGAGTGCATCGACTAAAACATTTTGGTCTTTACACTGACAGCCATTCTGATTTAATGTGGTAAAACGAATAGCAAATTTAAGTTCCGAGGCTTATCAACTTTCTTCAAACTATCCTGTATATTTGTTTCTTGTTGTCACTGTCAGCAATAATTACTGTCAAATTGACGTTAACAAGATTTTGCTCTTGCACCCCATCAGACCATACAATCCAAGTTCAACTATATGGTAACAAAGAGTGCGCAGGAATAGTTTTTGAAACTACCCTAGTTTGATTAATCCCCCCCCCAAAAAAAAATATTTCAAACCTACTTCTAAATATTTAACGAAGTCGCACCCATGATCTACAGGGGTTTTGTGGGCGGAGGTGGCACTGCGTAGGGCGTCCTAGCTCCATGCTTCGTTGACCACATGTAGTTTACAGGCGGTTAGATGATGGCCATACCCACTGCCGTTCCTGAAATAGAAATTTATAACTATAGGTTTTTCGGTAACGTGAAAATCTGAGGGGAAAATGAATTGTTACTGTAACAAGGTTGTAATATTGTATCATTAGAAACTAACTAGGCTCGTCAACAGCAGGAACTGCGGCCAGCAAATCTCCAGCAGATATCAAGACATAAGCGCTGGGTGGGGGAGGGGGGGGGGTCAGTGAATCTAAATACTGGAACACCAAAGTATGAAAGTATAAGGTTTAGATTTGCCAGAGACTTCAGTAGTCATGGAATATTCGATTTAAATGCATACGATTTAATTGGGTCATAAACAGTAAATTACGAATAAATCCTGAAGTGGCTTCCAATAACATGTCTGCTTTGGATGAGCATACAAATGTTACTCTGAAATTATTGTCGCTGCTCGCTTATTGACATGCAACATCAAATATTTCAAAGTCTTTCTTTGGCACCGTATCTGCCACACATTCGGTAAGAGGAAGTGCATGGAAACGAGGGTGCTGCAAAAGTTGGAATAAAAAAAGCAAGGTTCGAATTGCCATAATTATGCAGAGTTGTGCATGATCTGCTGTCAAAAAGGATCGTTTACTATGAAGGACACGAAAAAAAAACTCTTCGAGCGTTTGTTGTCAGGCTAATTCATTTATTTATTCACTTATTTGTTACTAATTATAAAGGGATTTCTCCTCTACAATGTAACACTTCAACTAAATATTTTAACATGCAATACGTTACGTGTCGCTTCCAAACTGTACAAAAATGAACTAATCACTTGGTTACGTTCCATTTTTATCAAAATGATATTGTAGACAGATCTGCAATAATTTGCAAATTTGAAATCATACATACCTGGTTTGTTATCCGAAGTCTACTGCGCTGCCAGACGCCCTAGTTTCACAGCGATCTCCCACACCCAGCAATCCATATTCCATGCAGTGGCTTCTCGAGGTTTCCTGAAATATACATTACCATTAGTGACAATCCAAGTATTATACTTTAAACAACAAAATACATCTTTTGCTTTAGATGCATTTTATTTTAAATCTTATAAAGGCTCAGGTCCAAGACGAGCCTGCTGCATTCTGTGGGAAAAGTTAAATTTACATGCGAGATAATCTAGATTATCTGAAGTACGTGAAGGAGGTAAGCGAGGTGAAAATGGCGGTGTGGGGCAATGGGGAATAGTGCTTTTCCCGATCTTGCAATTTTTTAAAAATCCATCAAATTATTTCATTACTGGTCTCAAAGACATTTCACCCTATCAATATACTCATTACGTAATGTTCCATCAAAACCAAAGTAAAAAACAAGAAAGACGAAGGTGGTAGCGCGCGGGTGTGTGTGTGGGAGAGTGGGGGGGGGGGGGCGAAGCTAGCGTGGTCGGTTTCGTTCGTTGAGAGTAGGTGTACGCACGGCGGCTGGTATTAAAGCTATTATTACACTTCTGTGGCTCGAGGACAATGATATCACAATTTTACAAAGTATTACATTTCTGCTGGCCTCCTAAAGATCGATGGGAAGTAGAAAGAATTATAAAAAATATAGGACTATAACATTTAATCTTAAAAAGCGGCAGCAGTATAAAGAGATCTCAAATATGATCAGACTTCGAATAAGAGAAATGTTGGCAAATGATTCTTCTGGATCAGCGAGGACGATATAAATAAGAAATTGTTAATTTGAAATGGTTTCGTTGCCAACACGAGTTGACAACTGCACCATTTCAAACTTTTTTTCTGGCACCGTATCTGCCACACATTCGATGAGAGGAACTGCATGGAAACGAAGGTGCAAATGACAGATGAAGAGGAAATGAATGTACAATAAAACAAATAACCGCAACAGAACGAAAATATAAATATCACATTTATCCATAATATACGAATATTTT